AACACATGCACCGAAGAGAAGACAACAGTGGTACAAAGCGATGCCATCCGTTTTGAGTAGTTCATACAGGATATTGGATTTTCAACGTTTACGGGCAGAGAACAGAACAATTCAAACTGTCAGAAACAGGGGGCAGCGTAGCTTTGCACCCATACCTGGAAAACAAACAAGTCGAACTACTGCCAAAGCTGAGGCTACCTCGCTTGCACAATCCTATCAGATCCTTCCTCTTTTCGAGATTAGTTGCATCGTCGCAGAAGACACGGTACGCATTTCCGCTCCGCGTGGTCTTTGTTGCCTCTGTCCATGTTTACTACTACTACTGCTACTACTACTACTACCACCTGCTCATTGAAAAGCATTCAGGTACCGAAGACACTTCTCACACTGAAGAGAATCATCCGTTTTTTTCCAGCACCAAATGCAGGCTTACAACATGGTATGCCCCTTCGCCAACACAAGCGTGGTCTCAGACGGGTAACATTGCAGTCAGCTTCAGATGACGGGACAGCGTATGGGACTGCAGGTCTCTTAGGCCCAGCTTCATTGAATCAAGTCATGCGCTAGTGTGAGTGAAAATCTGCCTGCGTTTCGAGAGCCCCAAATACGAAGCACTGCAAGATTGATGCGAACAGATTAGCGGATCCTAGGTCCAGGAGGGCTATCAGTCTACCTTGAGAGACGCACTCAGTTGAAATCCACCGCAAGATACCGAGCAATACAGAACTTGTATACAGAGGGCGTTGATTAATTCTGGACAATCAAGCTGCGGCTTGGCTCGATGCTTATTAAAGACTGGGATCTCGGCTCCCTCGCTCGCTGAAGCTGTTCGACCACCGCAGGAATATCCCGGCAAAATTAAGCAAAGTCTGTGCCAGAATCGCAAGTACTAGTGGTCTGAGCGTGCTTTGGAAGTGGATGCAACTACCCTCTCAGGCAATAGTCGTAAGTATTTCCAACCCATCCGGTCCCCCGGCTACTGGAAGCCTGGAGTCAGTGAGGTTACTTACGAGGCGGATGATCTCCGATTGCCCAACAAGAGAGGCGTTTGGACTGCTGTGCCGAGCACTTTCATTCGCAGTTTAACTGTGGTTCCGGTTGCCTACCTTGATTCGGCCCCCTGGATTCACCCAACGAAGCGGAATTCCATCCGAAATTCTACACATTAAGTGACTCGAGGCTACCGGCTCAGGCGGACATATTCCGGACCTGTTTAGTTATGGCGGCAAAGCAAGTAGTGGCCCGCTCACCTGGTTGTTCCATAAAATCTGGCAAGAGAATAAGTGCTTTTCTCTAGATAAGAGCTAGATATTGTCATGATTTTCAGGAAGAGCGCTCGCATTTTATTTGCCAATCAACGAAGGATAAGTCTCACGTAAGAGAACAGGTGAGGGCTGCAGCCGAGGAAAACTTCGACGGCAAATGATTCGAGAGCTCCATCGCATTAAAAATGTATGGTGGACAGAGACGAAGCAGATGGAATGCTACGCCGAACGCTGCCAACAGAAGGAATTCTTTGACTCCTTGAAGACGGTGTATGGGCCGAGATTGGAGGCACTGAGGAAGATGCTCGGTGCTACTACGGGCGCTGCCTGCATACAGACTGCAAATATAATGCAGATCTGGCGAAAGCAACTTGAGTGTCTCTTGAATAAACGTTCATAAATTGACTGGACCGTGTTGTACAACTGCAACAGTAAGAGATGAAGATGTGTCTTGCCGATACACGGACACTGGATGAGATGCAGAGAGCACTAGCTCATCTGAAAAACGGCAAGTGTGCCGGTTCCGACGGAATCCCATGTTGGAAAATGCGCTACACAACGTGGTGCAACGCGTGTGGATTGAAGAGGGAGGGAGGGCCGGCCGAGCTGAAGGATGCCCTTGTGTTACCACTGTACAAGAGCAAAGAGAGCAGTTAATGTTGCAGGCATTATCGTTGCATCAAACTTGCTCAGTTGTGTGGGGAAAAGGATCGAACAAATCTTCCTTGACCGCCTCGTCCTTCAAGTCGTTGAACCGCAAGTGGCGGAAGAGTAATGCGAATTCCGTTCGGGTGGCAGCATCAGATATGTTGTTCGCGGCTCGTCAACTGTAGGAGAAATGTCGAGAGCGACACCCCCTATGGTATCCGCTGTTTGTTGACCTCATCAAGCTATTCGACACGGTGAATCTCAAGGTACTGTGGCTGGTGTTGGGTAAGCCTGGTTGCCCGAGTAAATTCATAACTCACTGAATGACTGTACAGTGGTATATGCGGGCGAGGGTGCAGCTGTGTGGACAAACCTCGAATGATTGATATTGTCTCTGGTGTGAAGCAAGGCTGTGGCTTAGCCTCGGCCCTGTCTAGAATTCACCTAAATGCAATGAGGTATTGTGCTTTTGATGATGCTTGTGACTACGGTGTCCATGTGGACCACCGTATTGATTGTGGTTTGCTGAACATCTGTTTCGGGACGAGGACCCCAGTGTGTGAGACAACTATCCGTGTGTTGTGGTGGGCCGACTACTGCGTGTTGATTGCATTCAGAGCGGATGAGTTGCAACGCATGACTACGCCTCTTGCTTTGACAGCGATCGTATTCGGACTCACCAAAAACGAGCAAGACGGTTTGTCCCTTTCAACCTTCCCCAGGAAAAGGGTCCGTGAGCCTGTCACAAATCCAGGTTGCGACTGATGTATTGCAGACAGCATCGAAATTCTGCTACCTTGGGAGCGCAATGTATGTCAACATTCAGATGACGAGAGAACTGCGCACGCGGGTATTGAAGGTAGTTGTTACATGTGGTAAGCTGGAATATCGTGTGCGGAAGAGTCAGCAGCTGACCGTTGGGACCTAGCTGATATTAAAAAAAACTCAATGCTGATACTGATACTGATACTGTCATGATAGCGAGAAAGATGTTGAACATCTATGTAGCTATATCTCAATGTAGGACATGTCCCACTGACACAGTGTTACCTGTAGTAGTGAGCTAGGCCAGGTGAAAAAAGTAAAATATTTACAAGCATAGAAAAAATCTCCATGTACTTACCATATATTCTTGGATGAACCACATGGAGTCCTTCACCAGCTCCGCCGCCTATTACGGATGGGCATCGTTTCGGAAGCTGCAGTTGGTGGATTAACGGGCTCCATGGGTTATAATCATTGAACGATTCCTTCGTCAGTTTCCTGTGAAGGCTTCGTCGAATCTGGCATCCACAAAGTGCGCGTCCAGGAATCGTTTGAATTCCGACACCGAGTTCGCTTCTACTATCCGCGAGGGCAAACGGTTCCACATGTTCACCACTCGCCGCTCAAGACACAAGGGATGAGCTACCCACTTGAGGTCAGGGACTACCAGTTTGTACTGGTGACCTCGTGTGCTGCTTGACGCACGGACATGGAGCAGTGGCCTAAAAAGCACAAGACTGCAGTTGCAGACAGTTGGGCATCATCACTAGTGCGCATCCATCGGATCCATCAGGATTCGAACCCATGACCACCAGCGGCTTGAACCGCCAGTCAGCAGCTTATGCCACTGGGCTGATATCCGTTCCTTTTCACGAAGGAGAAACATTAGCGTTATGGAAGAATGATATTGGACGATTGGAGCGCTTTCATCAACAGTGCATGCGCCAGTCTCTGCGCATCCGACTATGCGACAGAATTAATGACACGGGGGTGCTTCACTGGAGAGGTATGTATGGAGTGGACTGTATACTTCTGCTGCGACACATGAGGTGGTCCGGAGATGCACGCGGTATGAAAGCGAGCAGGATACCTAAACGCCTGTTGTGTGGCCAAATTCGTGGGAGGAATAGAAGTGTGGCCAAGCCGAGGCTACACAATCAAGGTGAGTTTATCACAATCTAACGTTGACTTTAGGTGTTGGCAAGCAATGGTACTGGACCGTCGCCAACTGCGTGACCACATCAAGAATGTCGTTGCTCAGGTTCATCAGAGAGAACTGCTGCATCAGGAAATAGCTGGTTAAGGAAGTGATAAACGCCGATAGAACCTAGCGTATGCTTTGCAGTTATTGTGAGAAAGTCATTGTACCATGGACTGTTGAACATAGTTAAACATACTCTGACAATCGCACGAGAACAAGTGCAACACTCGGCATGATAAGGGAGAGAATTCAATGTGCATAGGAAATTGTTTGTCAGCCACAAGAATAGGTACCATGCGGAAAGCAACGTTCAGGTCACCAAAGAAGTCATTTTGAACATATATATGAGAGCTGGAGCAAGTAAACAGATCAACAAGACATGACCAGACTACGGTTTCACGAATCAAGTGCATGCAACAACTAACCCGGAGCGAATCACAACGCAGTCGTCGTCTGATGGTAGGACGTACGCAACTCGCCACACTGAGTAGCTAGTATGGTGCGGGCCAATGGTGACCGGAAGCTAGCGCTAACCACAGAGGGGTCCAAGTAAGAGACGAGACCAATTAGCAGAATGAGCCGATGTGCCCACCAATAACAAAGATAAACCGCAATGCATGGATGCGGCCGTCGGTGAACTAATGATCACCATTAGCCCACGCTAACACCTGGTGCCATTAACCCTCCAGTCGGCTCTGCCCGATTGAGTTAACTGGTGAATGTTTACCGCTAATCCTGTTACCCTCACAGTTATTGATAGTATCGCGACAAATCGTCTGATGACAGCTGTCTGGAACACAGTTTTTAACTAAATGGAGTTCTTTCAAGTGACGATGGAGCCTAGTCCAGCCCCGTAGTCGGTGGACGATCAGAGTAAGACCTCACTCCCATTTCAAAAACCCTCTTATTGAAAATGCGGATTTCAAATAGGATTGTGTGGGTACGCGACTTCAATCTATCACTATAAAACAGTGGACGGAACTTCAGTGGCGGAGCATAGCTCAAAACAGATGTGCGAAAAATAGGGCACATAGCGATGACCCTAATTTAAACAGTACTGTTGTCAACACGGACAATGGGATCTATCGAGCGAATAGGATGAAGCAGCCGATAGATGGCAATTAGAAAAAGAGTGTCATATGCACACAAACAACGCAGAAGAAGTGCTTCTTACATATGGACATAGCTGTCCAAATAAGAGCCTGAGATTTGACAGAGGGCTGGAAAGGGAACCAAGGAGGGATCCAATTCGTAGATAGACGTCACACAAAAGAGTTAGTGAGCACCAAAATTAGCGAAATTGCTTACCTCTACCGGCTTCATATGATTCCTACCTATCACCTGGAAAAGGTAAATAACGGCGAATAGACCGGTGTGAGGACGTGAGAGTAACAACTTGAAGACTAGGCACAGGCAAACCTAGTGCAATACACAAATGTGATTTTTTAAAGCAGGGAGAGGTATGTGAATCTAGCACACAAGATGCGTCTGCGAGAAAAGAACATCTAAAATTTCCACCTAAAAGTCGTTTGGCTTAATTATCGCTTGCGGTGGACGTGGGACTACCTCAAGGTGTTTGATCGGTTGGCGTCCGCACGGAGAGGTCGGTCAAAACAAAAAGCAGTACTTTGAAACAAGCCAATGACATTTGATGAACCGAATTCAAACTCCGAGTACTACAGTAACCACAATCGAATGAAGGAAGAGGAAAAATCGGAGGAGGAAAAAGAGACATCCAAGGAAAACGCAAAACGGAGCTATGAAGAGGAGAAAGAAATTCGTAAGCACTTTGGAGACAGTAAACCAAGGAGCATGACTGGAGATAAGCTCATTAAGCAGCAAACGGCTATCGTTCAGTTACCGTACACAGCGTAAGCAAATGTAGAATCGATTAGAAAAGTAAGTGAAGGTATATCGACAGATAGATGGTATTGCAATGGGCAGCCCACTCGGCTCTTGGTTAGCGGATGTGTTCATGGGCATGATCGAAGAGAGGACAGACAACACCATAAACTCGGCGATTCTATACAAGCGTTATGTAAATGATATACTGTTTATCAGGATTCCGACGAGGACATTGTGTGTGATACCGAGACTCTAAACAGTATGTACCCAAACCTCACAGTGACATGTGAAGTAGAGCAAAATAATTGTCTTCCATACCTTGACATACTGATCACATGGAGAAAGGATGGTTCGATCAAAAGGTCGGTCTACCGAAAAGCAACATGGACAGGTCAGTATTTGCATTTTAAGTTTCTCCCCTATACTACACAAACTCGTCTGGACGCTGTTCCATCGAGCCCACGTGATTTGTACCCGAACACATTAGAAGCAGAGAAAGATTTCCTGTTCGAGACACTACAATCAAACGGGTATCCAATGCAGTATATAAAACGCATTAGTGACATGCCCAAGCGAGATGGTGTTTCATCAGTAAAAAAGAAGCAGATATTCATCGAACTGCCATTCAAAGGTGATCCTACCGGGAAAATCACCGCGAAACGCATTAGTTTTTTCAGTGAAAAGAGCTTGCAATGTAGCGCAATGGTTGCGCACGTCAACAAGACCACTGCATGTGTTCTCTCAAGACACCGATAACGAGGCAGTGCATGTCCCACTACTTATATAAGCTCAACTGTAGCTGCGAAAACATCTACAGTTTAGGTGTCAGGATCAATGAGCATATTCCGAAGTGGGTACACAGCCGAATGGGTTCGGCGACGGTGGAATTGAGAAATCGAGCTGCCTCGGCAATTGCTGAGCACCGGCCACGGAGTTAACCCCAATGAGCCCTGTGGCGCAATCAGCGACCCCACATTCTCAGGCTATTGGAAGCCATCATCATCGATCGAGAGCGGCTGCTGCTTTGTGTGCAGAAACAGTTGACTGTGAATGTGGTAGTGTTAGGCGTGACGATTAAACGACTGGTTAACTATTAGTCTCATATGACGGCGTTTTTGTATATTTATGATTTCTGCAAAAGTTGTGATTGAGGAGCTTTCAGGAAAATGACTAGGTCATCTCACAGTCTACGACTTCTGATTTTTCTGCTTGAAAATATAAAGGGAAATTCCTGTTTCAACGTAATGTTTGAGTTGTAATCGATGATGAATACCAGTGTTTGTAACTTAGAGTACGTCCGAGGCTTGTCACCGTAAATTCCTGGAAGGTAACGAGATTGAACTCTTATCTATGACAACGGTGACATGTGGTTGGGTGCCACAGTGACAGTTCAATGGTACTTAGCGGAAAATCTTCGTGCTTAGAATGATTCTTAAAATTGCTGTAATGCGAAATGGTCATATATGAACCGCTTCAACTAGACAAGGGATTAGAAGAAGGACGACTGGCTATCTTGCTGGGGTTGCTACTGTGAAGACGAAAAGAACACATTGACAGAAATGAACACAAAAGAGGAGCATTAAAAGAGACGAGGCATTGGCAGCTGTAACCCGTTTCCGACAATGAGATCATTGTCCAGCATGTACTTCAGAGAGGGAGGCATTCGCAAGTAGTGCACATTCATTACATACTAGAGTTCGCGACCCAATTCGTTGGATGTAGTGACTAAGACTAGTGGACCATAGAAATAGCAGTAACGCAGTGTGACTCGTAGTCGATTCTTTATAGTGAAGAGGACAGAGCCGTCAATATAAGATATAAGTATAATCCACAGAATTCTCGCAGTGCAATGGTTCAGCAACGAAGACAACCGGAGCACTGCGTTGGCCTGTACTACTAGCGTGTGCGCGATCTTGTAGTCAGATGCCTAATTGCATGCAGGAGTCGGACAGTGCTGGGCGATCCAGGAGGGTTCAAAGGAAATGAGAGAGTAAGTGGAAAATAAAAAACGCCGCCAACCGCTGAGAAAGTGCAATCGTAGAGATGCTTCTGAATACCAAAAGTAACAAAGTCGCTTTAAGAATTAGCGTCGCTGTTGGACACAGGATGTTCAAACAATAACGCGGAGGCACGGAAGAACCAAGGGCCAATTGCATACTGTCACAAGCGAATATCACAATGGTTAGTAAAAGATTTGAGCCAAATTGAAGCGCATGACGTGGTAATATGTAGTGCCAACCTTCATGCAAAAAGTCGGAATTCGTCAAATGTTTAAGATCTCCGTCTTCTGAAAGTCAACACCGTGCAACCCAAAGACAGCTTTCACAAAGGAGGGAGCTGAACGATTTGTAATCAATCAAAGGTGCATGCACTGGAAAGCGTGCAGAGGCCTTGTTGGAGAGCTTTAGGTACGATGTAATCCTGGGATTGCGTAGGCGAGAAACGAGAGATCATTCTGAGGTCTCAATAATTAAATCGATAGGTTATATAGAAAAACATGGCTACCTATCGCCGGTACGTTCTTCGGCTAAATGCTAAGATAAATCTTTCGTGACCAAAACTGGGAGCGGAAGAGTGAACAAGCTATTTTGCTAGATATGATGCACCACGCTGTGCAGGTGGACAAGTCACACAATAAACAAGTCGTTGCAACTGGAAGGGGTGATATTGTTTAGATAAGTGGTTAGCGGCATCCGGTTTCGGATTTGCCTGTCACTGTGGCAAGCCACAGGACGCCTGCGCCTACAGAGGGACCATGGGTGGCTTGCGCTGCACCAACCACACCCCATATCCGGTGTAAATCAGAAGGAATAAGGCCGAAAGGCATGTGGATGGGAGCCATGCTTCATCAACGAAGCCGGCCCACACTCCTTCACAGGCATACACAAGCACGCTGTATTTGGGGAATCAAATGCACACAAGGCAGGGGCTAGAAGTAGTCCGCTCCACACTGAGTGCATGGAACCACTCTTTGATCCTAACACGGTCACAAGAACCGTGCACACAGTCCCATCCAGCAACGACCAACCATCTCCTACAGCCAGTATGGACGAGGTAGTGGGTATTAGACAGGTAGGCACCTTGTCAACATGCACATCAAGCGCAACCACACCGGGGATGTCAAACAACAGCCAATCACTTGAAATGACATTGTCAAACATAAGATATCTGTTAAAGCATACGGCTAGGCCGACATAATTCTTCGCTAAATTAGCATTTGAAGTAAGTTGGTTAGCAACGAATCCGCGATAAGTACAAAATGTTCACAAGTTATCCAAAAAATGCCACAAACGCGATCAAGTTAACGAAGATAACCACAATTAGCGTAAGCAACGAGTGCAAGTTACTAGAAGATTATTCCGGTAGGCAGAACAAACCAAACAAAGTAGAATGAAATTTATCCGGCTTAAAAAGACCTAGTTTAAGTGTAAGCTGGTTTAGCCTAACTGCTGTAAAGAAGCATCATGAATGCAACATCAGCATCAGCTTGGGAATTCATACCTACGGCAAAAAAGATGGGGACGATAATGTAAAGTACTTACCATCAGTTCATCGAAGGTAAGTATGCTGGTCGAAGAGCCATGCGTTTGGCGAAACTGGTGCAGAGAACTATCGTGGTTAATGAGGAAGATGTGTGACACACTGCCATGAGTCCACTTGATGATATTCGTAGCCAATTGTAAAGTTTCACATACCACGGCAACAGGGGGTGCTGAATGACAAGGAAAATACTAAGTCACCGGAGATAGGGGAATATATGAGATATTGAGGGGATGCTGAAGAGTTCGTTATATAGAAAAAGGTTTCCCGAAAAGAAAAATAACGGGAGATGAGGGAAAAGTGCGGTTACGATCGCTCAGTAACAAAATCGTTTGGATAAATGGAAATATCGAAGATAAAATCGCAAGCTGAATGTCAATAAACAAACGGCGCATAAGTAAGACGAATGGTAAGCATAAACAAGTATACGTACCTTGGCGACAGATGTGTTCCATGGCCTCCGTGCCCAAAGTGTCGTAGAGGGGGAGGCAGACCAGACCATATGCACTGCATGCGAACATGGTGAGTACCCACTAGAAACAACAGCAAACGTGGTAGATAGAGGAAAACAAATCGTTACATGGCTAATAGATGAACTGCTGCATGTATGTCAAGCGGATGGCTTAGATGTGCTCAATCACAATGTACGGACACCCTAGCTAGAGAACAATTCAATGAAGTGATGATAAAGTGACTGGTATGTACTCGACCGCGAGTTCCCAGAAGCCCCTATCGCAGTACGGTAGCGGTTCTTATTGATCCATTGTAAAAAGAGATCCCACAAACGACTCTCGTCGGATGGTGAAATCACAGAGGGAAGCTAGTTGTCCGCCCCGAACTGATCGCAGTCTTCAAATGATGCACCAAAAAGGAAGATACTTTACAAGTAAAGTACAACGAATTCGTACGCGGAAGCATGAGGCGAATATGAAATGTCTCCTACACGATGAAATCCCCCGTGTCCATAGCATAAGTGAACAGAATCGAGCCCAAAAGTTGTATAAATGCACCGAACTGAAGATGAAAGCTAAATTAAGATGACGTAAAGTTGGATGAGTAACTCATAAAGAACGAGTGAATACCAATGACTGTAACGAAACGCTCCGAGAAAGTAGGTCGTCAGATAGAAACCGTGAAAAGGCTATGGTACGTATGGTAGAGAACGAGAAGCGCAGAAAATAACGATAACTGCTGCAAGCATGGAGAAAAGTAGGTGTACAAACGCCTTGTACATGGCGAACAGCAAGACGGTGGAGCAGAAACTCAAGGCCTCAGTGTCGGATGAGGACTGATGCGCTAGTCCAGACATGCACCAGTTAAGAAAGCATTCATAGGACTGGCTACACGCCTTCGTCATCGTCGCATATCTTTTGAGTCCCATGCTTAACGTGATCCGACTAATACCAGTTCAACATGTTACGTAGCGGAGGGTGAACACAACCACGTGTTACACAACAAACCCACAGATGATACAGCAAGCAGAGAAGCGAGGATTATCACATAACAGGTATGCCTGAAAAAGGAACTACTTGCCATACGGCCAAGAGAATATGTTGTGGACGTGAGAGACAATTAGAAACACAAACGTGTACCAAATGGGAAGTTGACTCGAAAGCTGCAAAGCCCAACTATCGTGACATCTAAATGATCGAACAGGAGAACGAAGTGAGACATTGGCAAGGGAGCAGTGTGCATAAATGACTAAGGGGGACAGAAAGAGGTCCACGTGTTAGGGTACAGCGCAAGTATGTTCTGGACCACCATGGGCTTTTTGCACACAGATACATCCAACGCATACTACCAGACCGCAGCCTGGACATCCGCTAGCGAATGAATATGGCTAAGCACCAGAACTCATGTGTGCTTTGGGGTGCGCTGACTCTACTTGTCGCTTGTGCATGCGGACAATGTGGAGGAGAGGACTCGATTACGACGTCATCCTGACAACAAGAATGCGCACTATCTTGAACGTATAATGCAGGTCGTGAAGCGCAGTTCAATCTTCAGAGCGACGGCAGAGAAGTGTTAATGTTTACCCGTTCCAATTGATTTTCTTATAGAGGGTGCCATACTCGCTACCAAGAAACAGTAAGAAACCGCTGATCGAGTCATTTTCGTCGCCAACTTTAATCTACTTGGGACATGGTAGGCAGCTGGTTAGCTTAGGGGTTGTATCTGGCCCGGACGAATGAAAACAAAAAAGAAAGCTACATTCTGTAGCATGGTTTCAGTTTCTTAAAGTAATTTCGTGTTCAATTAAAAAAGCAGCCAGGCATCTGAGGCTATCTTCTGCGGGCTGCACTTAGTTAAAAACGTGAACGTATGGTGGAGTGATACTAGACAAACATAAAATTCCAAAAAAGGTAGAATAAGCTCACAATATTTGGAGGCTCCGGGTTGGTTTACAAATAAGGTTTTCTAACAGCTTGTGGTTCTAATAAATTTAGTATCATTATCGAATTGGTCTGGGTAGAGACACAAAATAGGCCCTAACGATAATAAAAGAAAACGAGTGAGGTAAATGTAAGTTACTAGGGAAGGCAAAAGAAACGAAAGAGGAATACGGTAAAAGAGCGCAAATGTAGCCGACCTGGTGGATCGCAATCAAGTTGTGAGACAGCAAACCAGAACAACCGTATAAGACAGTTTCATAATTCATAAGTCCATCTAGACAAGACTGGGCCTAGAGGCAGTGCGACGGTTAGCGTATCTCTCCGACGCACCGAGCTACACTAAGCGGTAACCTCGAGCCCATCGAGAGCTGATCCTACCGGATTGGTCAATGGTTGGATGTCAGACAAATTCAATCCCCTGGCAATCCGAGCTAAAGGTTGGAAAGGGACTAGCGCCTAAGTTGGCAAACAAGGATTATTGTCACCTCTTCTCTGCCTTGCATACAGGCTGTTGAGACAAAGAATTTGGTTGAGGTTGCTATCAGTTCACTTGCTTAGGTTAGGGCGCTCTGGTAGTATCCCGGTGCACATACAACCGTGACCATCTCATCAACCTACGATAGCATTATATGCTGCATACAACTGTTGATAGCTCCTTTCTTTTCCACCTATTTTACTTCTGACCCCCGCGGCAGCTATAAGTAATCATCCTTCTAACTATCACAGTTTAATTGACGACGGAGGTATACCACTGCAGGACAACCATTGGTACCATCGCAATGAGGCTGGATCTTACCGTGGTGCGATGGTTTGCGTGCCTCAAAGATCCATTGAGATAGCTGGGTGGTGCTTTTTTTGCACCTTCAGAGCCACTCATACCAGATTGGTCAATGGTTAGAGGCCAGACAAACTCAGCCTCATGGTCCTCCAGGTTGGGGGTTGGAATGGGGGTGGCTCCTCATTTCATAAAACGGGCTCTGTAGTCCAGTGCCAAAACCCGCTGCCTTGCGGTAAGGTTTTTGAACCAAAGGCTTTGGTTGAGAACCCTAATCGTTCTCCTGTCTAGGCCTGGGCAACCTGACAGTATTCTGCCCACGCAATACAATGAACCATTCCTACAACAATTTCTTGATGCTCTGGCCATCGCCCTATCTGCTGCATTGAGCAGGGTGGATAGGGGTATGGATGCTACTGCTCAGGCCTTCCCGTCTTCTTATCCCCTTCTTGCGCTTCTTCATCCTTATCGTCCCGCTCCAACTTTACTTATATCCCCCCATTTTCAATCCCCCAATTCTTGGCCCTCCCGCAGCTTACTTCAATAATCGCTTGTCTTCTAATTTCAAATCACACAATCGCAGGGCGTCGCTCCAATCCAGACGACAAGTCCATGTTCAACCAAGCGGACGACGTCAGTTCACCCGTTTCCCTTTGAAGACCTCGTGTCTAGCTAAGACTGGCATGCCTCGACGTGCGAACTTTGCTGCAGATTGGCCAACAGGCAACACTTGCCCGCACACTAGAGACCCTATCGATCGATGTTTGCTGTTTATCAGAAACCTGGCTGCAAGATTTGAGCTCCGTGCTTACCCTGCGATCCCCTGCATGCGACACTAGCGGCACATTCTCATTGCACCTGTCTGGCGACGATGCAGCTTCAAACGCCGGTCAAGCTGGCGTGCGCATTGTTTTGAGTTCCCGGGCTGAAGCTGCCCTGATTGATTGGATCCCAGTAAACAGTAGGATATGCGCCGTTAGATTAGCTGGTTCGTTCCGTGCTTCGAAGTTGCGCGGGGACAAACGGTGCCTATTTGCCATTGCGGCCTACGCCCCCACAAACTGTAGCACTGATTCGGTAAAAGATGATTTCTATCACCAACTTCACGAGCTCCTTCGTTACAGAAGAAGCACGGATACTGTGGTGTTGGCTGGCGATCTAAACGCCAAAGTCGGAAAATTGTCCTCTGATGAGCTTCATCTGGGCGGCCAACATGGTGTAGGCCCCCGTAATGATAATGGTGAGCGATTGCTACAGCTGTGTAAAGATGCTCGCCTCTTTCTCGCGAGCGCTAACTTTCGACACAGCACCCGTGTGACTTGGCGGCCACCAGCCTCGGGCCAGCCATGGACACAAATCGATCATATCGCGATCAGTTACCGCTGGAGAGGCTGTGTCCAAAACTGTCGCTCGATTTGGAGCACGAGCGTGGATTCTGACCACGCACTTGTCTGCGCCGACCTCCTGGTGCGTTTCGGTGGACGTCCGCAACGTCGATGTGAACGGATTGACACCAGCCAGCTGGCGAAGCCAGATGTTCTGAATGTGTATCAAAGTGCGCTGACATCTGGGTTCAGTAAGCGCCCACTAAACACCGTTGAAGATCACTGGTCGCATATTCGTCAAGCGTTGCTGTTAGCAGACACGTCTTCATGTGGCAAAGCAAATTGCCAACTCGGACATTGGATCTCTACACAGTCTCTAGAACCTATGGATGTTCGCCGACGTATTCCGGCTGGAAGCGAATACAATGAGGCTCGCAAAAATCTCAGGGCAAAACTACGTGCTAGCCTAAAGAAGGACCGCGAAAACTGGTGGTCTCATCGTGCCTCTGAGATGGAAACAGCCGCTGCCGTTGGTAATCATCGTCATTTATTCCGTCTGATACGGGAAACAGGCAGCAGGAGACCTGGTGTCAGCGAGACCATACGCGAGGAGAGTGGGTAAATGCTCCACAGCCTGTCAAAAAGCTTGAAGCGTTGGGCTGAGCACTTTGCAAGGCAATTTAACCAACCCGAGTTATCGCTTTCTTCTTCGGGCATTGAGCGCCCTTCTCCTTGGATCCGCCCTCACGCGCAGAAGTCGAACGGGAGATCAGGCTGTTGAAATTGCATAAGGCCGCAGGAGCAGATAGAATTCCCCCAGCCCTCTTCAAATTCGGGGGACCTGCTCTAGTAGATCATTTACACGAATTGCTAGTGAAACTTTGGGAGCAGGAGACTGTCCCGACAGACTGAAACCGCTCCGTCATTGTCCCAATTTTCAAGGGAGCCTCCCGTTTAGAATGCGGCAATCATAGAGGGATCAGTTTGATTTCGATTGCCTCTAAATTGCTTGCCTCTGTCGTTCTCCA